CACGCCTTTCAGTCGCCACGCAATCTGGCGATTGCTAGATGTCTTTTCTAAATCCAACATTGACAGACTACAAAAGCATAGTGTGTATAACATGCGACATCCGCTTATAGAATAGGTCGGGTCACCCCGTTGCGCCCCCCGTCAATAGTCTGCTGTGGACTGAAGTGGCGATGGATAGATGTGTGCAAATAGTGCTTGCGCTCAAAAATTTTACTTTTTTTGGTGCTGCATCATGCAGCACTGAGCTTCAGACTATTTGTAAATCGCAGAATCCCAGCATTCACTTCACCTTTTCCAATTGGTACTCTCAAAAGCGTTCCGCGCGTGTAAGTTCTGGACGCTAAAATTGTTGAGTTGACGTCAACCTAAAATGTAAGTCACAAATGACTCGAATGTGCACTGGATTGGTACAGAATCATTCGTGACCAATTCTACTAGGGTGTTTTTTTTGCATATGCCTCTTTACCTCTTTGTGCCATATTTAGTTAATTATCCCGGACGTTCCCAAATCGAAAACCCACAAACGTTTTCTATCTGCAAACTTGACAAGTATGTTTTGTAATCCAAAATCCAAATACTTACTAGTTAAGTTTTGAGCAAGAAAAACTATACCCTCTACTCTATGACTAAGAGACTCGAGACCGCTTTGTACACACTTTCTAGATAATTAATCTGATCTTGCACTTAGCCAGCTTATACCTGAAATTTGTCTCATCCAGGATCAGAGACTCCATGGGACCGTGAACAAGTTCAAGTTTGTTTAGACGATGTATGCGAAGCGATCTGGATTCTCCTAATAGAATAGATGACAGCTATAGTTGCACACTGTAAAGTACAGCGGTATTTTGTGGTTGTTGAAACTCCAGCCAATGCTGGTTACGAAACGATAGAGGGCTGACGGGGGAAGAGCAAAAGTGCGCGCTAGAAGAAAGCACTTCTACAGGGACCCATTTGAACAATTTTTTGTTTTAGTTGATTAACATAGTGAGACATTCCCACCGTCTCATTCCCATCCCCGACTACTAGCTGTGGTGAAGCTTCTTTTCTTTGTTACGCGAGCCCTGAAAAAGGTACTATTCCAGTACACCGACCCCAAAAATCGCAACTCTCAGACTATAGCTAAACTTCGTTTGGTGATTACCTGACATGAGAGATTCTTTATCTACACCACATCAGAAGCCTTCATTTCAAAAATGAAAACACTTTTCATGCTATAAATAAGTACAAAGTAATCAAAATAGCAAAGTGATTTTTTTCTCAAGGTATGCGCAGCTTTGTCCATCTCGGCAAGTTGAGTAAGGCAATTTGCAAGCTCATCCGGTACTCTTTTGTGCGAATATCATGATACTTTGAGGTTTGCTGCAGACAACCTGAATACGGCTATGCTAACCCCACCTTCTGGAACGTAGAAGTTGGGACATTCACAGCTGCCGCATAGATAACACCGATTTGTTTTCGCATCCGAATCTACATGATGGAACGCTAATGCTACACACTTTATCCTCTTCAAACAAGGCTCCGGCTGCCATAAGGTTCAACAAGCGCTTTAAAACCATAAAGTTTGTTGAATATGAACCGACCCTGTTCCGCAAGGTATGTGTCTAACAGTAGCATGCAGTGACTTCATGACGTTTCGATGCTTTATTCTTAGAAGAACTTTGCCGTATCTATTACTATTATCTATGTATTGTCATAACTACATCGTGTATTGTCACATCTATTACTGATACAATGAGATTCGTAGCCAGTTGGATGTCCTTGGGCTTGATGGTGACTCGCTTTTGTCGCGGATTGGGAACCCAGCTCCCAACGTCAGTGGTGTTACGGCTCTCCTGCATCGGCGAGGGGAGCCAGAGGTCCGCTCCGTGATAAAGTGAAACGCATCATGTGAGATGGCTACCTGTTGAACGCTAATTGTGCCTGCCACATGGGCGCTCCATACACACGTAGAGGCCCTTGCCACCAGCCAACTTAGCAGTTACTGGACACCTGCGACTCGACTCATGCTCCCAACTATCGACAGTTGGGGCATGATACTTATAATTGAGGCACTATCTAGAATCGTGCCTGCCTTCAACAGATCTTTCCCACTAGGCATGATTACAAAATACACATGAACACTGATGACACAAGATATCTCCGGAGCCACAGCCGAGCTGTGGCTCACCGCACCAAACAAATCACACGCGTAGAATGCCCACCATTTTTCCACAACTATTCCCTAAACTCAAACACAAGGGGTGAGCACAACCAGCCCGATCTTATCCTAGGGGCCGACAATATCGAAACCCCCCGTGGCGGTGTCACCGTCGTATGCCAGGCGCGAGCGCTCACGGGGTTACCTCGTCTGCGGGGTTGCCTGTCCTCCATGGCGTGTTGGATGTGAAGACGCGTGAGTTGGGGACGGCGCTGCATCGATCGACACGTGTGAAGACGAAACTGGGACCCAACCGCTCACCAGGTAACGAAATAGACGACTGATTTGAAAGCTGCGGCGGTGGCGATGGGAAGGCGGGAACAGCGCGAGGACAGCGTTTCGGGACCCCTTCGCAGCGCGGCGGCGGCCTCCTTTGAAGGAAGTCGCGAATCCGCGACAGCTTTGCATGGATGGCGCACAAATTCGTGTCTTCAAAAACTCCCACCAGGTAAGCCTCGGACGCCTCTAGGGCCATCACGCCGAAGACTGGAAGCGAAGATCGGTCTCAAAATCTTGCGCAATCTCACGCACAAGACGCTGTAACGGCAGTTTACGGTTTTTACCCCCGCGTTGTGGTTCCCGTTCTCTGGACGTGGTCTTATTTGTTGCATTATTCTGCATTACTCATTATTCTGAGTAATAATCGTCCAAGCTGGAAGAAATCGCTGCAAAAGCACTGAGACAGAACAAGGTAAAGAAAAGCGTCCTTTTTACGATTTTTCACAAAAATTTTCGCAAGCCATTCATACACGCGTTCGGACGAGCTTGCGGTCCTCTCCCACAGTCAGAGGAGACATGCCGCAGTGCTATAAACAGGAGCGTCACAACAACCCTGCGTCTATAGCCATGGCGGGCAATGTTTCACTCGTCCAGATTCAAAATGAGGGGCCTTAGGAAACGCTGATTTTTGCCATTTTTGCGCTCTCCAAGGTGGATTTTCGTCAGCACGTCGAACTGCCCAGGTAAGCGGAAAAACTCCAGGTCCAGGATTTGCCTAGACACTGCCTTTAAACTAGGGGAAGAATAAGAGATTTTCGAAAACGAGGCTTTTGCCGAATTTCTCGTTCAAATAAGAAAATGTGGTTTTAGGACGTTGTCAGCGTGAAAGTAGAGATTAAGAGCTTCAATATGAAATATATCTTGCCAAAACTGGATTCAAAAAACGAAGAAAAGGGTACCAGAGCCAAATGCCCTGCGCCACGCATTTAAGGTAGCCAGGTAGCGCACACACGAGCGGAGGAGACAGACCAGAGCGGACGAAGCATTTGGCTCTGGTCGTAGACCCAACGAAACCCTGCAACATTATATCATTCTGATCGTCGTGACACGACGAGGAGCACTAACAACGTCCCAAGTGTTGAGAATCACTCATTAACGAAACAGACCAGCATTTTCGTATGCAACTCTCTGCACAAGATTTGAGCGCAGTTTCTCGTTCTTAATCAACTCAAACAGCTTCACTAAACTTTTGAAACTTAAATTTAGTCAAATATGAGGATAAGTAAGAGATCCTGAAGTTGTCCTGAATTCTGGAGAAAACGTTCACAGAAACCTTCTATTTAGCGTGAAAAAAAACTATAAAAACGCAAATTCTCGGTTGCGTTAAAATAATGTAATCCCTATATTGCCTCATTCACACTCATTCCTGTATGGTCAGAATTATAACATCCGGGCCTCCGCTCCGGCTGGCTTTTTGTTTTTTAGGTGAAAGTTGTGTTCTATCATGGCGCTCAAAGTGAAGGTTACCAGAGTACATGGCTCTATATATCGAAAGTATGCCACTATTTGAAAAATGTCTCTGTGACTCCTAAAAGCTGAGCGCGTACTCATCGACAGTCACTTCTTCTAAAGCAGAAAATATGATTTATCACCCAAGACCTCAGATAGCAGCAGCGTAAAGATGAACGAGTGCGTCAAGTTGTTCGGGCCACTTTCTTCACTTTTCTCTGCCCTTTCGCAGGGATGATGCAAGCTGAATGCATCCCTCTGAAGAAGCCACTCTGGTCCGCATCTTCACAACAACCCAACTCTCTAAATCTAAAAGATTTATTTGTAAACTTACATTCCATGTAGTCATGGTCACCTCTTCGCACTGCGCATAGCACATACTGCAAAAGCGAGAAATTTACCTTTCAAGGCGTTCTTTCTTAACATGTCACAATCTTTGAAGTCATCACGCTCTGCTTCTTAACGGCTGGAGCAAATTATGACTTGCTTCGACATTTACGCAGTCTTTCCCCACCTCAACAGTTGCGGAATATAATGACATCGGTTCAGATACGGAATGCACTTGGCACATAGAAATACATCACTACTTACCGTTGAAAAATCACATTCGTTTTGGGATAGCTGGTCAAATTGCTTTCACCAAATTCCAAAGAATTATCACTGAAAAAGGCAGCGTTCACCTAAAAACTCAATGCGGAGATTTTCACATACAACAAGCCTATCGGTCCCTGTCTAACAACGTAGGGGGTTAAAACCGCACGAATCTTCCAAAAACCGGTTTTCTGGAGGCCCCGGGCAAGCATCTCGGACGAGCAGTACCCCTGCAATCCTTCGCGGAAGGGAAGAGACGCAGAGTCGAGAGGTAGTCGTTTGAGTCGTCATATTTTGAGGTCCTTTCGCAATTGAATAATTTATTCACACTTCTCTTCTGCTTTTTCGTCTTCGAGTAATGAAGTATTAATGTACGAGGTTCCTTCTTTGCTTTCTAATGAAACAATGAAAATGCACTGTGACCTTATGAACTAGCACTGCAAAGCAGGTTAGGAGGAGTAGTCAAACTTCTGGTACAACGTAAATGGATTATGTGCATATGTTAGCGAGACCTGCTAGTCGTACAGGCTTTATTTCGTATCCACCTTTTATGAAACACCGTTTATGTTTAGTATTCAGGTTATTTCCTAAAGTAGTGAATTGATTGTCTGTGGGATACGGTGATCAGTACATCCATATCAAAGTTGCTGTTCCTAGGTGAGTGTTTTGTTTCATTATAAAACGGGTTAAAAAACATCGCACAGTACCAATCACTTTGATACTTTCATATTAACCATCAAATTGGGAGATCAGTCGTTTCTCTAGCTTTGCAAAAACGCGTAACTTGTTGTGCAGAAATCTTACTAAGCATGTGTTTTTTTGCAGTTACAGGAGAAAAGTTCTTCTTTTCTCTTTTTCTTCATTGCTAAATTTCGTCGAAAATAAGTTCCATTTTCAATTTTTCACGGGTTAATTAAAAAAGTGATCATTTACATTGAAGTGATCGGATAATAATTAAGCCTTATCATCTGAGTGTCGAACGACGGGAGCGTATGCTAGCCGGGCCTGCTTCCAACAATCCCCAAAATGGAACTGTCAACGGATTTTAACATTCTGGTGAATTTTGCCTGCATATGATTTTCTTCTATTTTGTCCCTCAATTCGTTTGTAGTTGGTGTAGGTGCACAATGTTTGACACCATTTTTTCGTCCAATGTTGCTGAGTTTATAGCCGTTTGATGTTCATGCGTAATTATCGGTCGCTGAGCATTCCTTTCGGTGATATCTGGAGAAGTTTTTTGGATGTAACAGGATTGATGGGATTAAATTTTATTCAATTTGCGAGGATTCAATTCACTGCTAACATGCTTGTGCGCTAATGAACCAATGTCATAAGATGTTCGATCAACACTCAGTTATTAATCGAAACTCCCACCAGTAAATTTGTTTTTCACGAGAAACACGTGCTGCAGTTGAAATGAGTCTTCACTACGTCTTTAAGACGTTTGTAACAACCTAAATAACCACATGGATTGGGAGGGATTAATTGTGAAGAATATTAAAGTATCTGGTTAGGACTTTCAATTTATTCGAGCATGCGATGTAATTCGTTTTTCGAGCTCACTTTCTTCCAGCCGGGATTTTCATGTATTGTCCTCAGATGAAAGTTGTTTCAAAAAGTTTGCTTGTGCAAAATTGTTGAATGACTGAAATTATCAAAAAGCTTTATTTTAAACTAGTTGACTTACCCGGCTCCGCCCGGCCCTGTCATTATTATATTCGAAATCAGCATGCTCGATTACCCCCCCCCTGTGCTAACTCCCAGCCCCGTAGCTCAAATTATGCAAAAAATCGATAAAATCGATATCGATCGATGACGAAAAGTAGCCATGACACCCGCCGGGGCCCGAAGTGTATGTGTGCCAAGTTTGGTCCGGATCGGTTCAGAAATGGAATTTTCTATTCGGAACATACCAGTGGCGTACCGAGGGAGGGGGGGGGGCGGGGGGGGGGGGCGCGCGCCCCCCCCCCCGAGAACGGGTCGCGAAATTTTTGAAAGTTACTTACATGCGTTATAAAAATGTGCAAATGACTTGTTTATTTTTGTAAACAATTAAAATAATTTTTAAAATTTTTTAAAAATTCAAATTAGCCTTATAAAAAATTTTTTTTCGGGGGCGTGGCTGACGCCACGCCCCCTTTTTCCAGATTTTAGGGGTTGGGGGCCCGCAGAATTGTTGAGAAGCCCCCCTAAAATTTTTTCGGAGTGCGTGGCTAACGCCACGCACCTTCATTTAAAATTTTTTTTTGCCGCGCCCCCCCCCCCCGAGCCGAAATCCTGGGTACGCCACTGGAACATACGTACATACATACAGACATACATACAAACAGACATTCAGCTTTATACATAAGATATACTGCAGTACACGAAAAGAACACCCGTGGCTGTTGCGAACAATAATCTATACTTTTGGGTACGGAGGCGGGGATGGGACGACGATGCGGTTAGTGGAAGGAGAAACATCCAGCGAACGATTTAGCTGAGAAGAAGCACAACTATGTGAGTGAAGTAATGTCGTCTTGGTTGTGGGTTTTCTGATAACACCCTTTTCTTCTCTAAATCTATCTTACTTAGGTTAAAATTGAGATATTTGAGAGATCGCAGTCCTACAAGGAAAAAGTGGGCAAGAGAAGAACATTCGTCTTGATTCAATTCGTAATTTCTCATATCGAATATCAAGCTTATATCAGGTGAGTACCACTGAATCTTTGAAGTATCCATTATTCTTTGTCATTCCTTTTGAAATTTGTTCAAATTTCTCCTTCTTGCTCCTATGTGAATTCAAATGTAGGCTTACAGAATTGGTGTGGTGCTTGCGACTTACTATGTTCAACAGACTAGCTTTGACTTGGAGCGATACTACTGCTAACCCTGCCCAAAGCCCTGGCCATACCGACAAAAAATCCTCGCGATGTGATATGTGCAATGCGACAACTATCATACGCCCCATGCATGCCGACAACGTACATATGGTCGTGCTAGCTCTCTGGTGCGACAGGTCGCTGACCGTTCTTCCTAGGCCATACCTATTTTAGCGATGTCGCAGCGATTTGGCTAAATTTTTGCGATAATGCTCGCCACTTTTAAATCAGGACGGGCGATATCGCTGAAATTGGATTTCTTTTTTGGATTTTTCTGGAATAGTTCTTTTCCCTTTCGACTTGTTTTGAGAAGTTACAAGGTGATGCAGATTTCCCAAACTGTACTTCTTTCGTTGCAGCGCGCCCCTTATAATTCTCATCAGTCGAAATGAATATTTTTGATTGTTCGAAGTTCGTGACTGAATAACATGCTAGTATATTTAGATATCTGAATTAAGCGAAAAATTAGCAACGTATGAAACCTCAGCTACAAGTAAAATTGGCTTTGCATTCTGTATTCAATGAAAAAAGTTGAACGACAAATGCAAATGCGCGAGAAACTAATAAGAATTGATGATGTTGGACGTATAGGTGTCGAAAAAAAGAAAGAAATTTGCAAATGTGAAATAATCACGCTGAAAGCTGCTTTTGGATGCCAAAAGAAAACGTAAGCCAAAAGAAAACGTGCCGAGGTGTGTATTTTCACCTTATCGGTGAACAGGTAGGCATGTCCAGAACGCGCAACTAGCGGTTTAATAGTCGCGACTTCGTCGCTCTGATCATGAAATTCCCCGGCGACGGGATCTCGACGATGAAATCGCTGCACCACGTATTGCCAGGACTTGACTACTCCCTGGACGCTGCCTTTAGCCATGTGCCATCAAACTAATTTGTGCAATGATCGATATGTAACCATTTAATGCCTCGCAAATTTTATGCATTCTAACAAATGTGAACCAAAATTATCATGTCGCAGCGTTGTGATGATTCAAACACCAAAACAGTATGTATGAGAAAAAGAAATTTGCAGCGGCAGCATCGATGTATTGCCTGGAAAACTAGCAGAAGTGAACTTATGCCCTTGCGAAATCGCTGACCGAGCTTTTCGAAAAATTTCATAAGAGATTCCAAAGTCGAGTGAAAATACTTTTGAAGATACACTAGTTTTACTTTTGATTCCCGAAAGTATAGCAGTTTGATGTACATTAATACGCGAAGAGACTCGTGTGCTGTTGATTTGACTTTCAATGCTAAAGCTTAGCCTTGTTAAGGCAAACATCAACATTAGGAGAGCTTTGACCACTGGGAACTATTCCATCTAATATCTTCCAATGGTTAAAGCTTGATCTCAGCGGCAGAGCTTCATTTATTAATTGCACTCCAATCGGGAATAATTTCTGCAGTTTGTCTCTCTAAAGTATTTAGGGTTCGACGTCCATGTGCAGTTAAGCTGTGTCCTTTGTTTGAACAGATATAGGGGACAGTAAGGAGACAAGACAAGTAAGGAGACATCCATGCTGTTCTTTGCACCGGAGAGCCGGGCATATGCCGCGATGGTAATGATAATTCCTGGACCTAGCCGAGACGCGCAACTCAGTTGCTGACTTTGCGGTAAGATCCACCGACACAAAAAGCTTCGGAAATCTTACCTCACAAGCCGCGTCATTGTGCATAACGAAGCTGGCAAAACTGTGATCTTATTAGATCCCAATTCAATGCTAGTCAACCGTGGAACCTAGAAATGGAAATTGCGAGCAAATCTCAGAAGAGAAAAGACGAGCTAATTCTCTCCACTGGACTATATTCGTCCAATGATCAAAGTGCAACCTCACATACGATGCTCTTCTATATCACATGTTTTTTGACTGAAAGCATCAAGAAATAGCTTTTACAAACCGAAGTGTCTACCATGAACTGCCTGGGGCAAAGCCTTGGGGACAGATTTTAGGCCTTTTTATTATCTTCAGCAAGATCTTTGAGCTCCTTCAAACAAATTTCGGACATCTAAAAAAGCATAAAATGTGAAAGAAAAGAGAAAGGTGGAGGGTAAAAAGGCAGAAACAAAGTAAAAAGTTGAAAATGTAAGCTAGTTAGTGCTGAAATATCAGCGATGCTGATTATAGGACTCAGCGAAGCCGATCGATTGGAGCGCGCTTTCCTCCTTAAGAAACGGGGCTGCTAGAGCTATTTTTGGCTTTAGCAAAGGGGAGAGGAGGAATTCTGAAACCAAAATGTTAATATATACTAAACACTAGGTGTAGAAGAGATTTATGTAAAAACTTTGAAAAATTATGTGAGACGGAAGTTTTGCCCACCTCAGGTGGGCACTAGATGGGCAATTGCCCACCTAATTTGGAAAAAAGTTGAGCACGCTATTCAATCATATAAGTTTTTCATAATTTTTCATACTTTGTTCCTTAGTCCTACTGCGCGTATATACAGCAAATATCGCGCGATTTCGTCATGTCTGCGTTGCAAACGAGCCATTTTTCCATTTTTTGGAAGCGGGAAAATTTCAGAAAAAAGTTTCCCACAACCTTTAGTCGCATAATTTTTCAATGAAACTCCTAAGTTAACTCTCACAGGCTTGTCTCCACGTACGTACTAAGCTTCATTCGATATCGTCACCTGTGCTTTGCAAATGAGCCATTTGAATTCACAACTTCACTCACCAGTTATGGGAAATTTTTGAAAAAAATAATTAGTACACCTTCCATTCACATAAGTTTTTCATAATTTTTCATGCTTTGTTTCCACTAGCCTCTCTACGTTCGCATACGAAATTTCGTGCCATATAGTTATGCATGCATGTGAACTGCTCATGTATGCTGTGACAAATAGCAAAGTTCGAGCGGAGTCGCGCGTGCGGCAATTAGCGACGCGCGGCTTGACGCGCGCGAATTCTTATGTGCTTTAAAGCTTCTGAACTTCTCATAGAGAAACTGGAATACAGTTTTGAGCTTGACTCAACCTCCTTTTGCTTCACCTAGATTTTTTTTCGGGGCTCCGCCCCGGACCCCGCGAAAACGATATTCCCTTTGCTTTTTGGCCCCAAAACGATTTCCAGCTTGTCATTTGACCACCTCGTGCTGCGCCCTGAACGGGGTCCAACCTTTTATGGTGTTTAGTTTAAGCTCTGCCTATGAAGCTCTCCTTTAGCAGTATGATCTTTTTCACTGCAGTTATTTTGTTACATTTGTAAATTAGCTTTTCGTAGATCGTTCAGTACTCCAGAAATTCCTTCATTGTACCGCTGAAATTATCACGTTGACGACAACGCGCATTTTTCAGTTGTCTGCCTTGTGGGACAATGCCTTCCACGATAAAATTGAAATTTTTCAGCTAAAATTAAATAGGTTGTCGTTTACAGTAAATTTACGGTAATTTTGAGAAGCAGAAAAGAAATGCGGTAGTAACCCGTAGAATCAGAGCGTAAGAGAACTTCTGAAACAAATTTACCTCAAGATTGTATTCACTTTGACGAATTTTAGACCATGACCCACCATGTGGGCCACATTGTCCCACGCTGTCGTCAATGTGTTATGCAACATTGCTTGGGTTGGTTTAATAGAGCGGAACAATTTTGTTCTGGTCATTCTACTTTGGTACTTTTAATTCAGTTTGCCTACTGAAGTAGAAGGAGCCGTTTTTGAGTTATTCTGTTTTACCTTCGTTACTCGCTTCATTTCGTTTAGGTTTTTTTCGTTTTCGATCATTAGAATTTCTACCTCCTCCATGATGTTGTGCATACCCTAGATCCATTGAGCAAGAACAGGTTCAACAAGCTCTGCGAACATTGCTTCAACACGTCTCGACGTGTTTTTTTTTCTTCAGCACTTTTCAAATAACTGATGTCAACATTTATGATAGTGGAGAGGACGTTGTGCATTCTAGATGCAAACGAGAGGCAAAGATGTGGAAGCTGCGATTATAGGGGCCTGCAGGATCGCGAGAGTCGGACGTGCGTACGGCCATTGCGCCGCGCACGTCAGATGTGCGTACGACCCAGGTAGGTGCCAGACTTGTCCTGTTGAACAGCTTCATTCGGTTCACCACCTTTGCTGTTGGACAGTGTAGTGATTTGACCTATGAACCGAACGAACCGGCTGAAGCGGATAAGTCTGGCACCTGCCTTAGTGACATCGGACGCGCAATGGCCGTACCTATGTCCGACTCTCGCGATCCTGCAGGCCCCTATGCCAACTACTTCGTCGTTTATGTAGAAAGAAGGAGGCCAATCTAAAAAAAGATTGGTGCAGACTTGAACGTGTCACTCACACTGTAATAAACCACAAATTTACCTTTTCCATGAGTTGTTTTAGGCTAAGGGCATACCTCACGCGATTTCAGTCACGCCGCTATTTGGCAATACTCCAATTGTACATAACTCATCGTAAGGGGTTTCTGAATGTACGAAATATAGGGCATTTCATCAACTTACCAAAACTAAATATGGTATGCATTTGAGGTCTGCCAGTATTGAATTTGAGGGTATCTGGCAAATTGCCAGATCGCGTGGCGACTGAAATTGCGTGAGGTATGCCTTTAGCCTTAGAAGGCAAATTATAAGAGCAGTACCGTTTTGCACCCTTTATGTATGTTTCAAACAGAAAGTTCTATTCCAAAGGCAATTTAGACCAATGAACACATTTACTTTGTTGTATGCTTTTTCTCACAAGGAGAGGATACTTAATCGAAAGCGCCAATCCAGATGAGACATATATCATCTTAAAGCGCTTGAAACGCTGATTCCAAAGTTTTTGTAGAGGGAGTTATGAGGGGTGTTTCCCTCTGGGGTCAAGACGTCCTCCACCATTTCTCTGCCTACTATAAGCACTGTAGAGGAGTATCAACTGGTGGCAACTGACCTAGTTGTAAGTGACGTGCTTGATAAGGAGAGTGTCAAGGTTTCAATCCTCTTCGCATGCAACTTTATCGCAATTTTTGCAAAACTGAGCTTCTAAATGGCTTTGAAGCTCTAAAGCTTGAGATTTTTGATGATATTGATGCTATAGAAGTGTAAAAAAGCCAAAGTAATACAAGTATTATGATCCTTACTGTAATCTTCATTCAAGTTACTTACCATGAGGCCAGTTGCCACCAGACGGTAGTCCACTACAGTGCTTGTAGGTAGGGAGACATGGTGGAAGGCGCCTCGATCCTAGAGGGGAACACCCCTCATCATTCTCTCTACAAAACCGCTCCGCAGCTAGAAACTGCAGATTTGGAATCAGCGTTTCAAATGCTTTAAGATGATATATGTCTTATTTGGATTGGTGCTTCCGACTAAGTATCCTCTCCTTGTCAGTACCAATTGTCACTAAATTATTGATTTTCTACTTCACTTTCAGAATTTGATAAAGAATGCTATTTTACATCGTAATATTGACATAGACTTAACAGAGCAGGTCATGCTCTTCGATAGTATATTAGTAAACCGAGATCGGCTATGCTGCGCCAATCGCTCGAAAGCTCAGAATGCTTTTCCACATATCGCTTTCCCCTTTGCTGCTCACTGGGTCTCTCGGTCAAAGATAAAATCGCTTCAGTCAACTACTCCGAGAATTTGGAAACAAGAATTAGAAGTCCATAATATAGTGCACAACATCTCGAATGCTTTATTAGACAGTTTCATATAAACATCTCTTTCATTATAAAGCTTTGAAGGCCTGTAGGGGCAAATTTGAGACTTGCGAGCATATTGCACACTATCGCATGTAAGCAGTGATTGAGCCGAGATAATGTTTTCTAGTCGGACACTGACAATGAGATCAAAAAGATGTGAAGAGACTGATGGGACGCTTCACACAAGGGCAGTCAAACTCGATAAGAATATGCTAAAGAGTAAAAAAGAGAAATTTCCTGCAGTGGGTCCTCACTTTCCTGTATGAATGAAGAGTAAGCACAGTGACCGAATAGGATGTAAGAACTGCGAAATCACTACTTATGTGCTAGCAAATTTTAAAGTTTAGACCCGCAGTATTCAACGGTTGGGCTGAGATTGGGTTGGGTGTCTCAGCAGATTCGGATCTGTGGAGTATGTTTTGCATTGTGGGCACATCCATGTCACAGATGTGCAAGTAGACGTTGCTTTACATCTGAAAAATTGTTTACAGCATCTGGTTCAATTTGCCACGTTCATCAATGATAGATGGAAATTCTCTGAAACTTTATGGAATTCAGACCTCGCGCAGTGATGTGGTTGCAATCCAGGATTTTCAAGAAGCACAGCTAACCGATCGAGCATTGCGGCACGTGCACGTGTTGAAAGGCAGTCATCTGAAAAAGTGGGTAGAGTCTCTAATGGACTGGAAATATGCAACAAATTTCCGAAAGTTTTTCTCCTAGCTCAAAGGCAGTGCCCAGACAACGAGGAATTTTGGCTGCCATCTGAAAGCGATAATCAATACTAGCATTCAAACAAGCTATCGCACAACGCAATGTCATACTGTTAGGCTAAAACCGGGAAAACCACTTAAAATGTCGAGGCTTTGGGAGAAGCCTGTTGTCGTCGTCACTAACTTAGATGACACGCAAGTCTCGGTGTTAGCAAACATCCGATAGATTTTTCGAGTTTGAACTATTAGACGTCCCAAATGTAGTGTTCTATTGCGCCGTTTTCTGATGCAGCGCTCGACACAACATATGTAATATTCGGAAGAGATTCTTGTTCTAAGTCGTCAACTTCTTCCTCTTAAAAAGATTTAATGCCTCTAGATTTTGGGCTTTGCAGCAGAAGTGGCAGCCAAAAATCATCGGTGGCTGGATCTTCGCCCTCCTCTCATTTTCAGGGAAGGGGGGGGGGTGGATGAAGTGGGGAGAGGAGGGGAAAAGATTGGGAATAAAGGAGGAGTGGTGGGAAGGAGACAAGTGCTGGACTGGTAGGCTCAGGCTCCCATCATGGAGCTGAACGCGTCCGGCGCATGATGCGAAAAGTACTAAATTCTCTTATAATAAATGCCAAAAGAGGGGGTTTTAGCTTTTTATCTTCTCTTCTGGGGTATGGGACAGACAGACAATGACAGGTGAGAAGCAGTGGAGGGGGAGGGGTCGAATAAGGTTAACGGGGAGTCAAAAGAGGCTTCGTTTCAAAATCTCCCTGGTTCCAGCTGGTGCCGAACACTGCACCTTGCGCATATACAAACTAAAATGCTGTCGGTGCGCTGTCAGCAGCGATTCAAACCATTTAGTACAAAAACAAATCGAAGTAAAGCAGTCGATGCATGTCTAAGCAGGATGTACAGAGTTAGTAGCGTGGCATTTGCGTGTACATATAGGTATTTCTGAAATCGTGACAACGGATTTGACTGCGGTCTTTGCGCTCACAGGAGCATGAAACTATTAGTACAAAAAGGCGTCACCTCAAAGCTCACTCAGTCACTTCCACTGTGTAAATGCTATCATATGTGAGCAGAAAAACCATTCAAGTAGCGATGAAAACTAAGAAAATGCAATCGCAGACGCGTGCGTGTCGCGCGCGGTTGCGCCATCGTCACGATTCTTCAAACGCCCCATATGTGCATGTTAATGACTAGAGTAACCATTGTTTTACGCCACTGATTCCACAAACACACATCAAATGTTCTATACTTAGGTTCCTTTCATCTCATGTGTAGAGTCATACAGAAGAAGTTAACGTGTGGTGTTACAATATAAACTACGGTCTGGCATCCCGGGTTTCACTCCGTTCTGGAGCCAGTCCATCGTGCTTGATCTCTCATGCAGCGAAATTCAGCCTTCTTTTGATTTCGAGTCGTTTGGGTTCGCTTCATACCATTCTTACCATATTTTGATGACCAGCAAATCAAAAAGAGCTTCACCGCTCATCCTTTATTACTATGGGAATGTGCCCAGAAACTCAGACACACAGATTTTCTGCTTTACATATAGAGAGATGAGTGCTAACTACTCACATGTACTTTGTTGGGTCATCTGAATGAGCTGTTCGGGCCGATGAACCATGAGAAGACACTGAGGCACCATCTCGTGAAGAAAACAGCGATCCAGCAAAGATAAGCGAACAAAAACTGAGAGCTGAACGGTAAATGAACAACATTTAAGCCAGCTGCTTCCATATGTTACCTGCGTCTGCTGTGCGAGCAGCATCAAGGCGCATTTTTTCAGCAAAGCTGGTGATTCCATTTTACAAGCAGCCATTAGCACAGGACCGATGTTTTGCTCTGTAATCTTATATTGTGAAATAAGGTTCACATACAGGGCTCCTAAATTGCAGAGTTGTTTGCACCAGGTTGCGCGACCTCGTTGCGCCCGGGCATTTTGCAGGCGCCGGCGCCATCGATCGGGGAGGCGCCACTGATGCCCGGGCGCGACGCGGTCGCGTGACCGCTGGTGCAAACGACTCTGCAGTTTGGGAGCCCTGTAAGGTAAAGGTTACCGTTGAGCCGGAGCTGTGGTGGATGGACGGCCATGAGAAAGGCTTTTAGTTCTTCATGAGAACACGGGCAAAAAACTTCTTCCATCGCAGACGAAGAGCAGTATATCCGTTCCTGAAAATTCAATGCTTGGCGAGCACATGCATCACCCATAAAGTGGGTTATTGTGGCTTGTTTTTGAAAAAATGCATAGGCTCCATTATAAAGGACCAGCGCATCTCTGCTTCGCAGAGGCTCGCACTGGTCCTACTATTTGTACGCCTTGCTCATTCCCGTACAATAAGATATTGAAGTTCACCGCTCTTTGCGGACTATCACGAATGATTTGTAAACAGCTGTTCATTCCAAAAGCTTTCTTGTATGAGGTCGGTGATTTCGCATGAACGAAACTTTTCCCAAAAGAACAAATGCAAATTTGAATCGATTTTTGAACTTTTCATGGCTTGGTATTCGCCATAAGATGCAATAATCACCATGGGCTACAACTCTGTGCAAAAATCTTCTCAAATGACTGGGTAAAATCTTGACAAATTGAACATTTACGCAACCAATCCTTTCTGGCGCCGTTTTCGCTAAGTAATGGATTTTGTTTCGGTTTTTTTGGCTAAAGTCACTGGCTTGCACATAAACTTGTCGAACTATCCGTGCCTTTGCAAAAAGTCGTGCTAAAGGCTCAGTTTTACTGGCCAAAAGCCAAGTGGATCCGTTTGACGCGCATTTTTTGAGGGAATCACACAACGGATCCGTTCGTGCTTTTGTATATTGGACTCTCATGTTGGTATCATGCACTGTGCAAAATTTGGGCTCAGGAGGTTGGCTGGAACACGTCCTACGAATTTCGTGACAGACAGACAGACTTACACACACACAAAAACACGTAAACACCCTTAGCCCGTTATTATAAGTTACTAGCTGGTGGCCTCGGTCTCACCCGAGACTTCAAGTTAGTTAAGCCAACAGAACTTGTAAACTTACGCCTCTAGATTTCTTCTAACATGCGCATAAAGCGCTTCCAGACTAATTGCCACACCCTACCAACTTTAAGATTGAAATGGACTTTACCGCCCCTGCTTACATGCTTATATGTAAATATGATCGGTTGCCATGATGGCCCTTCATTTTCTTGGGTTTGAGTAAACAAATCAATAAATCGATAGAATGGCCCGGCGAATCGCCGCGGAAAGTAGCTCTAGACCACCGCCGGGGTCGAAAATATACGTGTGAAGTTTCAGCCGGATCGGTTCAGTGGCGCGCGTTTCTATAACGAACGAACAACTAAACGAACATCCTCACAGACATTGAGTTATATATATATATAGATACCAGTACGTCACCCCCGCTTCGCGGAGGTTCGCACTGGCTCTCCTTCCGTATGCCTTCCTGTTCGCATAATGATGCTTTGAAACTCACCACGTGATGCTGAACATCACAAATGAATCGCAAACAACTGTTCATTTTTGAAGCATCTCCATGTAAGATCGGTAATTTTGATTAAAAAAAAACTTTTTTGCCGAGGGAAAAATGCGAATTTGAATGGATTACTAAATTTGTTTCGGCTTGATAGTCGTTATAAGGATAATAGTCACTTTGAGCTACATTTCCGTGCAAAAATCCTTTCAAATTTCGAGATAAGGCCTTGCTAAGTCGACTATATACGCGATTACCACTTTATGGCGCTGTTTTCGCAGAAAAACAGACTTTTTGAACACCTTTTGGGCTAAAATTCATGGCACGCAGATTTACGTGTCAAGCAAATCATGACTTTGCAAAAAGTCGAATTAGCGACCTAGTTTCGCCTGCCAAAAGCCGCGTGGACCCGTTTGACGCGCCAATTTTCATGGACCCCTTCATCGAACCGAATCGTCCTTGTGCATACTGGACCTACATGCTTGTGCGGTATGTTATGCAAAATTGTAGCTCGATAGCTTGGCTGCAGCTCCCTCCATGAATTTCGTGACAGACAGACATACAGACACACGCACAAAAAGACAGACGCTTAGCGCTTCAATATAAGTCATGATGATGATTAGAATGAATGAGGCTGACCTGAAATACATTGGACCATGCAGCCATATAATACGGGTTCACATAATAAATCCTTCCAGCCTTGGCACGTACGCCCGTAAAAAATAAATCAGTCTGTCTTTGGAACATCTCCATATCTAAGGGCGGTTCGGCAATTTCCTGTAATGCAAAGAATTGATTCAGTTAGGTACTTAGAAGTAACCCGAAATAAATGCGGTGCTGTTCTGTTCTATGCAAACTTTGGCAAATCTCAAGCACTTGCGTTAGATGTTCTTCTCGTCTCAGGTTTACTCAGAACCAAAAATCAAGGAACGAACAAAAACAGCTCTTGAGCTTTAATAACAAACATATTTAATGCTGTTAACGTTGCCGTTATGTTCATCTTGGATAGGTGTGAAGTGCCATGAGTTTGGATTTTTCTCTTGTACAATCACAAGGAGACATAAATTTTCGTTTTGAGACATAACAGATCGGAAAAATATCGAAGCGGTGAGCAAAAATATCCCAGTTCTTACTTCATGTCATGAAGTTTTTCTTTCAATAAAACATTATCCGTGGAATAATGGAAAAAAACTCAACTACAAACAAAGACCGAGTAAATTTCTAGTCGACAAAAGTAGATATTCCACATTAGGCTAAGACAACAAAATCATGTTGCTGAAAAGACTTCCGGTACAGGTAGGGTGTAGAACAAAAACTCCAACTGATGCGTAAGCAAAACTTCAACAGTCGATCATACGCAAGTTTTTGCACAAGACAATTTCCGTCTTAAGGTGGAATTTCTCAAAATTCATAGAAACCCACCTCAGGAGCTGGAGCACCGTGCAGCCGCTCCAGAAGTAATACCTTCACCCGATCGCTGAGCGCATAATATCGGGATCCAGTCAAGTCCACTTTACAATTCGGCCTCATCTCACGGAGACATAATATCAATAGCCTATTCAATTTATACCTGGAATATGTCAAATGATAATAAAAAAACATTGCAAACCATTTTTGTCAAGGGTTAAACGAGATAGCAAGATGTAGAGGACGTACCTATCTGCTATCCAAACTTTTTCTAAGAAGGGCAAATTGTGATTGATGAGAAAGCATTCACAGCGATGAAGCAGCCCATCCATCTACAATAGATTGTCATTTCAAATGTGAGAAACTATCATACCTACATGTTTGTGTCTGGAGTATAAAAATGATCTCAAGCAAAAACTGTGATATGTCACTGATTTGATGGGTTAATGATCTTTCTTAGGTTGCTATACATATTAGTATAGTATATAGTAGTATAGTAGCTTATGAACCTTCTCAAATGGTATATCCCAAAAATCAATTAAGGCACACCGAGCGAAGACACACTTGCATATTACCTTACCTACAGTGATGAATTTCTTGACTGAACGCCACATTCGGCAAATTAGAAATTCATGGAGATCTTTTAAAGCAGAATGGTTATGTTCACATGCACTTTAGCTTGGTTTATGCTCAATTCGCAACTCAAATTTTTACACTAGCTTCTCAAAGAGATTCGAGCAAGACTTGGATGCAGCAAACTAACAGGACAAAAAATCAAGCCTTGTTTCATCTGCTTTCAGCAACCCCGCGAAGTCATTTTTCAGAGGTACTAAATTTGATAGAATGACTAAAATAGGGTGACTGCACATTAGTGCATCCAAGGCTTGATTATCGTGCTCTGATCACACATGTGATATTGGCAAGCTTTTCTGCTTCCAAAAATGAAGTTTTTTAAGTATCGGGTGCGACCATAAGTTAATTCGATGTCAAAAGCAAATTTTCAGACGGAACATCTCTGAAGAATCAATTGAAAAAATTGCGTACGTTATTGCTCCCTTTGCGCGTTAGTATATCTTTGCCGAAATATCCAAAAGTAATTGTGAAAAGGTTGTCTTCTTGTTCTCTGCTTTTAGAGAATAGAGTTATTATCTGTATCCCATTATCGTAGGTACTTGGCGAAGGGAAGGAGATGCGAACGATCTACAGAGGTTTACAGGTTTTCAGAATCAAAACTTTGTAACCTTGTTATGCCTTTGATTCCAGAAAAATTTACGTTCCGGAGATGACCCATCTTGAGAAATATCACTAGCGGAAGTTTTGTTCCTTTCCTTCTTGCCAAAGTCAAATGATATCACCTTTTTTTGCTTTTGGCAGAAAGCTACATGAAGAACCCGAAAGGAAGTAAAGATCTTTCGAATCGTAACAAACATTCGTTTTAATCGCTTCGATCAAATGTGAAACTTCCGATTTAGAGTTGCACAACGTATATTGTGGACAATTGAGAACAAGGGAAAGAGGAATTTATCTGCAAAAGTGATCCGAGAGTCTTCCTTTCGTCAACATATCATATTCTAGGAAAGACTAGCAAAAAGTGGTTTCTTTATAATAAAATGTTATGAAAGGACTGAGTGAACGCCAAAATCAGATGAGCTCGAAATAGCTGTCTTACCGTTTAAGGCTAACGTTTTCGACTGAGAGGACTCAATGTATCATATAATCCTGGTTACCACTACTTCCAAATAACGAGTAATAAAAAAATCAGAAAGTTATCATGTATGAGTAAGGTGAACGTTTTTAAGAAGTGAGTTCATGGTTACAAGGTGTTCAATGTTTTGATCTACAAACGTACCTGATAATCGTATGCAAGAGGCAGTAAGATGTGCACCGATTGATCATCCACTGATTTATACGTGGGGTGAATACACTCTAGCATCTCCACTACGTGATCGTACTGCACATTTGCCAGGATCAATTCGCGGTCTGGACACTCGACGCACCATGCTCTAAATTCAATAAATGATGTCAAAGAGCCTCAAACTCTACATTTAAAAAAATTAAGAAAACGGATCAATTTCACTTGCATTAGCGTCGGTCATTTTGGTTTTGTTCAATGTTTATCCAAGACCCATTACATTTGCTAAGCGAAAAACCTACTCACAGTGCGACAAAAAAAGCTTTCGTTTTTCAGCCGTTAAGCTTTTCTTGTGATGTCACAAACCAGCAACATAATCATGACACCTTTTTATTAGCAACATGATGGTAATTCCGATTTTCGGTCTATCAGGTCGTTTCATAGTTTTTTATTCTTGATTTTTCATCACAGTAAGTCATATTCTTCTCACGTTTCATATAAGTTTCGAGGTATCCCTCAGTAGAGCAAGATTAGCTCTTCGTGATGGCGTGCAAACATTCGCTTCGAGTTTATTCCACTTTCATTGAAGTTAGAATCTGAAAAGTTCTCACTCCAAAAAGCGAAGAATGGTCGTTCTCCATCCAGAAAAATTCTGCAGACTCCCAACTTGCTATACTCTCCACAGATACTGATATACGGTGTTGCTGCATTTTTATTCTGGCGAGAAATGGGACAACGAGAAATTTACCTTGGTTATTTACACGTAAATAATTCTATACTGACTTTCAAACCTCTGATAGTATGTTTACAGATGTCAAGCATTCTACAAGCATTTTGTTTCGAAAAATAAGAGCTTTGGCTTCTCTTTGCTTTTTTGAGTTCAACATGCTTTTTTTTCCGTGTTTCTAATTTCTGTCGCACGGACCTCGGAACCTATATGGGAGGTAAAAAAAAGTTCTGACTTATTCCGGTAAAGAAGAAAATATTATGAAGCAAGCTATCATTGTGGAAATGAGCTTTCTATGTTAACAAAGTCCAATTAATTTCGAGTTATAAAATATCAGTTCGCTCCTTCATTTCCTGAACAGCAGAAATTTCTAAGCAACATGCAGAAGTTTCTTCTCCAAATCCAACCTCTTCCTCTACATATCTTGCGCAGATAGTGAGAAGATTTCATTAGCAGTGCTCGTGCGTTTAAGCTGAGTAGTACTTTTTCATTCCTATAATTGAGATGCGTATATAGAGAATGGATACTGAGGTTGATGCTAACGCGATAGCCACTATATAACTGCAATTAGATGTTGGAGTAATTTGATGTACTTCGTATGTCCTCAGCTTCCCAATTTCCGGGTTTTGCAAACGCAGAGCGCCAACTACCAAACCCGACCATAATTTTCAGGGCTACTCTATAGGTTTTCTGGTCATCACACAAAGCAATATTGAAGTCTCATTATTCACACCTTCTGCGCTAGAACAAAAACTTCATTTACAATTTAATCGAATTCCGAGAAATTTCAAGGCATTGTGGCCGTTCCCATTACGCTTCGACATTTTTTGTTTGCATATGGCATTACGGAGAAAGCTATATCAAAAGGCGAATTCTAGTGCATAGCAATTATTGTAATGACTAAATATCGATTTTCGAGCTTAGCAAATAGAATTTTTCTGAAAGCAGTGAAGTTTGTCGGAAATATCAGTAAATTTACTGTGAAGATTACGGCAGCACTAAAAATGCAGCAATGTCACAATCTGGCTCATTGATTGGAAACAATGAAAAAGAAAAAAGATCATTGGAATGGCTGTACCATTACCGTTTTTTTAACTATGATGTCCGTGTCATGTGTCTGTCTGACTGCAAGCAATCAAAAAATGCATTCGATGTAGTTTTCTCTTCTCTTTCCGATTAGGTCCCCTTCCGAAATCCCCAGGTAATTTGTCATAATTCGTCATCCATCGTCTCCATCCACCAGTGTTAATCCCAGGATTTCCGTTCGGTGAGGGAGCGACAAAAAAATTTTTGGATCAAACATGCATGGCGTTAGCCACGCACTCTGAATATTTGAGTGGTTTCTCAAAATATGCGGATCCATAACCCTAACGTGGCTACAGCCATCCTCGCCAAAAAATTTTCTTGCAAGGCTAACTTGAATTTTTGAAAAATTTCGAAATATTATTCCAATCATTTTCATCTATAGACATATCACCTACTCATTTTTTATCTCATGTAGACAGTTTTGAAAATTTTGCTGTCCTATGCTCGCGCCCCTTCCCCCGTCCTCTCTTCTCGGTCTGCCACTGCTATCTACATAAATTTCCGCTGAATCCCTAAGCTTCTATCATAGAGCTTCAAAAAAAAAAACAACAACCTATAAAACAAATTTTAGGATGATACGTCCTTTAGATTCTTCTGAGTTCTTGTTTGATGTACGAAAGCATTTCTTCGGTGTTCTCTTTTTTTTCGGCAAAATAATGAAACACATAACTGCAGCAATAAGATTTACAGTTTGTTTAACATTAACCATGATTTATGAAGAACACGGAAGTTTGGATGGCTTCGTAAATCAAGTCTTGGGACTGTCAGTCCGCCCACGCGTGACATGCACTCAAAAAGCTGATTTTTTTCGACAGATGACTGCTAAATATTTAATAAAAATTACTAGTCACATGTAATCTAAATCGACTATGATGTAGCAAAAGATAAATTTCACGTATTAGCAATCAGCTTTTCCTCAAAATACTGAAACTTTCTAAGTTTAAGAACGTTTTGGCGCTTAGTAAGATTGCTCGAAGGCAACGATAAACTTTAATAAACTGAATATATCACAGAGAAAGCCTAACTGTCAAAAAGAAAAAAATGATATAAGTAGTTCCTATGTTGCCCGTCGGCCAGCGTCCGATGGGCTTTTTCGATTGTGAAAAGCGAAAAAAAAATTTCGCAACAACCTAACATTACAAACTTTAGATCCCGTTGATCTCGGCTTGATTTCATGTGCAAAACAACTGAAAACTGTCGAAGTGACGATAACACAGATTAAATGAACTTCGTTACTCTGAGGAAAGGAAGATTTCCTACCTGAGCACAGGAGACCACACAGATATGTAGTGCTCGTCGACGTATAATCGTTTATTCTCCACCATAAGCGGTCTCGTTCGTTGGCCATCCGGACGAGTGAAGTCAATCGACACATCGATCGAGGGACCCGATGGTCCCTCCACCGGTGTGCGGGGACGTGGCGTCGTAAACACGGCGATATTTTATCTGGAAATAAATTGTATTACTATGAGCTAGCGAAACTATCAGAGAGGAGAGTCGCAGTGACAGCTAGGTAATGACGATTACATTCGTGGACGAGAGGACATTTAGAGGTAACAACTATATGATGAAGAACATAAAGGAATGTGAATACTGCTCACAAATGAGTTTTCACAATACTTATCAACATCCTAAACAAAATCAACACAAGCGATGTGCGTCCGCACAACGATAGGTGAATATATCTGCGCATATACCGTTTTGATCATGCATATGATTTCAAAATCATTGTACTGACTACAATCTCTTCTCTTCAGCACCTTCACCTTTTTTGGAAACATAATAGGCAATCATACAAGTTTTTTTTGGAACAAGCTGATGTGCAAAACAGGTAATGGACACTTGGAACAAGCGTTCGTCATAAAAAAGCCCAAGGTCACTTCTAATTACCATGCATATTTGATAAGCTATTAGGGATTCACAGAATTTTGTCATTTGGTACCATTTCTAATAGAATTAGACGGAATATTAAACAGACACCCATTTTGAACACTGTCAAACACCAAGGCCATTAATCAGCGGAAGAACACCCACTTCAACTATCATCACCAAGAATGTAACATGCAAAGAAGTTTGGCGGAAAATAGTAGAAAAATCTAGCATTCGAGAAAGTTGATCTACAAAAGTTTACTCTCTACATCACTACTATTCAGGTAAGAGCGGAACGAGCTCGCAAACGTGAGGCTGGAAAATGATCAATGTGCTAAGAACTGGACGAAAAAACCGGAGCTTTTTTTCATTTCCTATTACCATCACTTTCAAAATGCTAAACGAGTCATAACTATACTTTATCATGTTTCGAGAACAGGCGGTTGTTTGAAAGTGCATAAATGCAAGCAAAGTGCAAAAACAAATCCGAACAGCAAAGTGCTTATGGGAGACGGAAGTGAATGTTGCGTTTGTTATTTTCTGATGCAATTACTTCCGGAGCTACATAAGATCGAAACTGCTAAATAAAAAGATTCTGATTCTTGAAATTCTTGCAAATGATGGGTCATAGAGAATCTGGTAAACTTTCATTGTTAGTCCAGCTAAAGTTCACACATGCCTAAAATATATACAAAAAAGAAATTGTGATCTTGAAGCTCGAAAGCGAAAGCCGAATAGGCATTTGCGATGCGCTCTCATTCATTCTCATCTGTTCCCGCAGAGGCTGGAGCAGATGAGAACGCTGAAAAAAAAAGCCTGTCGATGTGAACGGTATGAGTTAGTATATTATTGTGGCTATGTAGTTCACCTGACAATGAACCTGATTACCAGTATGTTTGAAGCTACATTGTTGCTTTTCGACCATTTTGTGAATAAAAACAGCTGAATTATTTGCGCGTTTGATCACCCCTGTAATAAAATTTGCAGTCCATTTGAGATTACTTTTTTCATCTAGAAGCTCTGATAAAACCACGACATTGAGAAGCTTTTGAGCTCCCAGTAAAAAGTAGAAGTAAGTACTAGAAACATACAATCATGCTTATCATTCAAACTTTTATACGTATCACCATTCTTTACATCTCGCTGAGTTGAATTCAAAGACAGGATGTTTTGCGTCATTTTCAAAGTAGAATATTAGCACGACGTCAATAAAATTCCGAGCACGTTAACATTTACCAAGAGTGACGGCAATGGCAAAGCTAAACCGAAGAATTGTGAGTACGGAAGCCGATAAGAATAAAGAAATGGTTGCTTCAGGAAGAGATCCGGAGGAACCCATTCGTTTCCTATGTTAGGCTGATGGCATTATGCCAGAGAAGCATGTGCGGGTTTCAAATTACTATCGACTCCGAGCATTTCCCACGTGGGCTGTGAAGATGGCTGGAGAGCAGCGTTGGGCCAAGTCTCCACCACCAGCGCAGCACGTCCGCTAATGGCATAAGTGACAGACAATTGTCACAGCTTTCCCGTAGTGATTTCAGAGCCATTGCAATTTGTGGCACTAATTTCCGCCGGAATGAGCGAATCGGTGAGTTGTAGCAGCAAAAAAAAACCAAAGAAAACTTTGCTGTTTTGGTAGAATCGAGACGATTTTGTGAGCTGACTTGCGAAGTGTTAAAACAAAATCGTGAGCTTTCCGCTGCATCAAATATACCACAAGCACAACTGAGCAACAGCGTTACGCATGGAGTTCTAAAAATATGTATACTATTTAATCGTTAATATCTCTCTTCTCACAAAGACTTTAGTTGATCTTTAGGTACCACTCCGTAGGACTGGCGCCAACAAAAATTTTCAGTACTGAAGCGATTCATCGATCGCTCTTCATACTGTAGAATTACTGTGGTAACTGCACTCGAATTTGTGAAATAAGACTTTAGGAAAAAATCAAATAATCCACTTAGAGATGTAGCATTGTTTTAAGGATGTTGATATTACTATGCTCATCGAGTGCTTAAACCTTTTAAATAAAGGAGCTTTGAATTAAGCATCGTTACAGTAAAGCCAGCATTACATATGCAAGGAGCATGGCGGGAAGGAACAAATTCCAAATTTAATACTGTGATTCTCTAGTGCGAGAATTTTTAGACTGCTTGGCTACCTTTCAGACAAAATATGCCCCTCATGGCCTAAAACTCTGCTCCAAATTTCTAACGCATTCCAGCAGAAAGAGGAGCAAATGGTGAATCTCTTTATATCGTAGATCTACTACTGAAAGGACAAAAGACTCTGCGGAAAGGGAGATATTGACTACCGAACATTGTATACATACTTCTGGGACACCCTTCATTATTCCATACCCGTCAAAAAAGTCACTTGAATTCTAGCCGCTGGTAGAGGAAGGAACTCTTCATCGAACATTGTTGGGAGGGGTGACCATCTTCACTCTAGCAATGAGAGAGGAGATATGACACTCAAACAAACTTTATTTTATCCAATTCATCAAGTGCGCTGTAGTGCGCTATGGACTGAGTAATTGAAAAATTGTGAATAACAAGTTACTACGAATGCAACGTCGCCTTTTTGGATTTCTTACGTATTTTAATGGGGAATGGCAGTTTCACTTATCGGTCGTGGTTGGTAAGCTTTGTAGTATGTGGAGTCTAGGAGGATGTTAGAAATGAAGGAACGCATTGCTCCGAAACGAATTTTTATGCTTGATTGAACTTTATCGTAAATTCTGTCCTGAAAAGATCCTACATGGTTGTGATTTTACCTGCATGAGGAAGAGAGATTTGTGAAATTTCTTGGGATGAAATTTAGATTTTTGGCCTACCCTACTGTTTCAAGGACTTAAACTACGAGGATCAGAAATTGATCGAAAATTTGAGGCCATTTAGAGTTTTCTACGCTCTACCGAATGGGTGAGCCGACTCAATGAGATACGTATATGTAGTCTGATAAACGCTCTTTCTAATGTAGCAGATTAAGAAAAGAAGAAATGGACATGTATGCAAACAGCATGGAATTTTCTCAGAACAATGATGTCATCGCTGACGCTGTACGAGCCATGACGAGACCACCCACATACTTCTAACTAGCACTCACAAGGCCCAGTATGGTACTTTCGTGAAATAAAAAAAGACTCAAATTACACATTATTGATGACGCAGATCTCTTCGAGTAGGGCCCAATTAATTACGTTTAGTGGATTTGCAGATCGAAGCATATCAGTCAAGAAGGTTGCAAAAGATCTCTTAAAATAAGAAGTCGATGATATAATTTCTAGTCGATCCACTCATCCTACTTTGGTATTTTGGTATTCCTAGCATAAAACAGATGTTATTCTTTGAAATAAGAATTTTTAGAGCACGCGTCTTTTTGATTATTCTGGATAGAAAGTCCCATTTACTTCATCATGACTGAATATGATGCCAACGTTGTATGTAATGTGAATGACTGCTCAATAAAAAATTATTTTTTTGCCAATCTAAGCCGTTCGAAGATCCGCGGACCACATTCGAGCTCGTGCACCGAAGATGTACTAGCAGACAACGAACAAAAGCACTAACCACTCTTCAAATAGGCTCAACAAATTATTCCGAAATTCTGCTACATGACTGCTCGTTTACCGAATTTCGTTTGTCTGAGCTCAAAAAACTCGTCATAAACCCTCTGCTACAAGGTTTCCGCGGAAAATTTTTGTAGAAGAATCTCCAATATAGGGCTTAGAAGATTGGAGACGGCTTCACTCCCGCAATGCATAGAAGACTAGAAAGCAGTGGCTATTTGTTTAAAGCCGTCTGAATTTAGTGTAGCTGATCCGTTGAAAAGCCCACTGGCTTGATGAAACTACCACTTAAGAGGAATTGATTCTATACAGGCAGTTGCCCATGAATTACTATCGAAAGATATCTTAATACAGGAACATATCTTTGCTGAATCACTATTCTGTGTTAGTATCATCTCCGTGTTATTTTCGAAGAGCATTTCGACTTTTCTTGAGGGTAATAATTGGTATCCTTACTTTTGATAACATATGGATGATAACACACTAGCAAGCCAGACGAGTAGTATAGGAAGAGGTTGTTCGAGCACGTTCTCAGAAAAATATATCGCTGTGGGGGATTACCTAATCCAAGATTTAGGGCGCTAACATTGTTAGAGGCTAGAGGGATATTTAGTGTTAGTCATGTTGTTCCGGTTAGGAAAATCAAATCGTGGAGGACGCTGAAAAACTTTCACAGCACTGCTTTTCAAGAGCATGTCAGGAAAGTCGGAAGCTGCATATTTTTAGGGCTGAAGATCTTAGCTGCCGTGATAAGAGCTATGCAAATAAAATTATACAAAGTTGGGACCGAAGCAAAATGGCTTTTGTAAAACAGGTATAGTGGCATAGATGCATAGAAATGCAAGCGACTAACTTAGCGACTAACGACACTTTTTATAGGAAGGAGATGCATGTCTCTAGCACCATAAAGAGCTAATGATTTGAAAGGGCAATTATCATCGACGCGGAAGACTAGGCTTACAGGACAAATAAAGTCGAATTAAGAAGTTGGTGGGCTTTTCATAAACA